CTCCCCTTATCCACAGGAGATGTTTCAAGACCCCCCAGTGGATGCCTGAAGCCACTAATAGTACCAAACTCTATATATACTGTTTTTTTTCCCCCCTATACACACATACCTGTGACAGAGTTTAATTTATAAATTAGGCACAGTAACAGAGTACAACAAAATACAAATAATAAAATAGAAAGATTATAACAAAATATTATAGCAAAAGTTACGTGAATGTAGTCTGTCTCTCTCAAAAATCTCTTACTGTATATAATATCTTTTCCATCTCAACTAAGCACTTGTCACACACTATATAACTTTCGTAGTATGAAGTACAATGTAAAACTAGCATGAATTTCTTTTTCCTTCTTCACAATTTCATAGATAGGAGATTCATTCTTACCATATATCCTAGCAATCTCAGGATACAATTTTTTTTCTTTCCTTATTAAGTCAAAAACTTTCACCATTTCACTTAGAGGGGACACTTTACAACTTCCCTTTGACATATCTGAATTCCTAGCGTCACTACTCTTGTACTCCGGGGCCATTATTAAGTAAAATAAGAATTACATGCACTGCAATACCACAACAGCCAATCTGATAACCAAGACAGCTACCAAGTAACTAAGGGGAAGGACATGCTGAACAAAGGGCTGATTCACATCCTAGGCCAGCTGGAGTGGGAACACCCAAGATCTCACCATGCTATTCAGAATGGCACACAATTTAAAAGTTATGAATTGTTTATTTTTAGAATTTTCCATCTAATATTTTCAGACCACGGTTGATTGTGAGTAACTGAAATCACAGAGAATGAAACCATGGTAGGGGGGATTATGGTGTGTACGTGTATTCAGCTAAACTATATGTTTTTTGGTAACATATTGACAGAATCTCTGAATATTAGCACTTCAGAGGTTTGCTTAAAACAAAATTGAAGAATCTATTAGTTCCTATAAAATTCACTGTTCAAAAGTATGAACAAACTGTTTCCAACAAAAATTATTACAGCTTCATTTAGAGCAGTTACATATACTGAATATGTATCAGAATTTGCTTTAGTGGCTTATGAACAGCTGAGGGTGGAGCAGCTCATTTTCATGACAACACATCACAGATATAAATCTTAACACCAGGCTCAGGTTATTATACCATGTGTTACAATACTTTAAGTCATGAACTTACAAAATAACTTCAATGCAACATTTTAGGCTGTTTAAATACTTATTTCAAAACAGAGATTTTATAGACCGACACAGGTTCAGTGTTCATAGTATTCCTAAAGAAATACTTATGAATTACACTGATGGCACTTTGTTTAAAACATCACATAAGAAACTTTAAATTTCACAAATAAAAACTTTTTTGGCAGGGGGAACCTCTATGTACAGAATTTTTTATGAAATAGTTTAATGGCAAAAGGCAATTAAAAATAATTAAGATTCTATCACATTAATAAGAGATAAACAATTAAAAAAATTGGATATGATATATTCTTGAAAGCCCTTTTACACAATTTTCATAATTTCACTGTAAGGGTGAATACATATTAGGCTACTATTAGCAAATTAATTTTGAAAGTAAAACCCCTTAATCAACTCAAAATTATGCTAATTTATAAGAAATTAATCAGGTAGTTTTAACATTGGAGCTCATTAACCAATCCCATATGTAGCACAAAATAATTATCTCTGATAAATACCTATAAATATAATTTATTCATACTTTAAAATACTTCAAAATTTAAATAAAAATCTCTACCTGTAGACAATCTAGGCTAATTTCCATATATGCTTTGAAAAATATATGCTAACATGACTATTTCCTATTTAAACATGATTTCAAATATCCTTAATAGAGGAGACATATGAAATCTGTGCATAAAAGCTAGGTAGCATGATTCAGCCCAATAATTAATTTCCTTTTAGGAAAAAAATTAATTATTTTGCATAGGATTAAAACTAGGGCTTCCCATGTGGCTCAGCTGGTAAAGAATTCAATACCTGGGTTGGGAAGATCCCCAGGAGAAGGGAAAGCTACCCACGCCAGTGTTCTGGTCTAGAGAATTCCATGGATTCCATAGTCCATGGGGTTGCAAAGAGTCGGAAACAACTGAGCAACTTTCACTTTCACAACTAGATATATTTTCTACATTCTTATAATTTTCTCAGGGACACTTCTCAAAATATAATTTAGGAAAAACAAGCCTCCTACTTTAAAGTTCCCACTACTTTCTCACATCTACCAAGAGCAAAATTCAGTCATACTTCTGAGGTCAGAGTCATGATTTCTAAAGAATGATTATGAGAAATGATAATTAAGAAAAATAATCAGGAAATAGTAAAATAAAGCAGTTAAAAGCTATTTAAGTAAAGCAATTAAAAGTCAGTATTTTTACACTTTCAGAAAAGCTTTTAAACATTTAGAATTATAATGAACATATTACACTTGGGCTTCCCTGGTGGAACAATGGTAAAGAATCCACCTGCCAATGTTGGATCCATGGGTTGGAAAGATCCCTTGGAGAGGAAATGGTAACCCACTCCAGTATTCTTGCCTGGGAAATCTCATGAACAGAGGAGCCTGGCAGGCTACAGTCCGTGGGGTTGCAAAGAGACGGACGTGGCTTAGTGACTGAACACGCATATATTATATTTATTCTAAAACTTCATAATTATGTCAACTTTGTAGTACTGAAAGAAGATATTACCATTCCAAACAACTTTTACATCGTATATACACTTCATAAACTTTGCTTTTTCATATTTTCAATGGCCCCATTTATCTGTAATAGTGATAATTTTATCTTATTAGCTAATTAATATATACATGCAACAATATAAATATACTTCAATAGTAATCTAAGTTTTAAAAATATTTCACTCTATTTTCACATTAACTGGTGAAAGCGTGGGCTTAAAGGGAGTGGAACTGAAGGGATAAGAAATAATTACAAATATGTAGTTAATTTCACAAGTCCACTATATAGTTTATAGGTGTTACCTTGAAGTTATCACCCAACTGAATCCCTGCTGAGAACTAACAAGTAAATGATTATCAAGACAGAAAGGCTACAATTAAAATGAAAAGCTCAATTAAAAAGTACAAGTTACTAAAATTCACCAAGAAGAGAACACCAGAGAATCATGAGCAGTTTACCAAACTGACGTGATATGGTGGTGGGGAGCGAGCCATTGGTGGGAAAGGTAGCTTCTACTGACTAAAAGTCCTTTTCTTTTTGGCAGCTGGTTTCAGTAGAACCTTACTGGCCAAGTTTTAAAATGTTAGAATTTCAGGAAGAAGAATACATTTCATTGTATCTTGTCTGCAACTTTCTATTTTAATGAAGAAAGAGCAAATGGGGGGAAAATGTAGGACTTTATAACCAAAGTATGAACAAAATGCAATTTTTAATGTGGAATGTCAGAACTCAAAAAATTCATGAATAATTTGTGTGATTCTATATCTCTAGGGCAGATTCATAATTAACCCATCTAAATATCCTTCATACTTGCAAACTGCTCCCTAACGAATGGCTGAGCAGGCAGGAGGACATCTCAAGAGAGAGAAAGAGATGACCAAATCTACAGGGACTTTTTAAGACTCTGTAGGACCTCCACTGTTAACTACTACTACGGTCCTATCTCTACTGGAGTCTCTTACTGCATACAGAGGTGTATGGACTGCCATCAATTTCTAGGGTCCTGTCCCAGGCAAGATTCTTTCCTAGGGTAAGTGTGAATTATATCCCCAAGCAAGGATAAATTTACAATTTTACCTTCACATATCTTTTGACACCCATGACGCACTGTAAAGAATGTCAGTGCCTTTATACCAAAGAGGAAGCATCTAGATTGGAATGCACGGGGATGGGGCAGGGGCCATACAGCCTAGTGGCTAAAACCGCAGCCTCTGAAATATGACTGCCTGGACTTGAATACTAGCTCTGGCATAACCTTGAGCAAATTACTTAACTTTTCTATCCTCCATCCAGTAACCTTATATGTAAAATGAGGATAATAACCACCTCTGTCAAGGGGTTGTTGTAAGTACTGTATGGGAAAATATAACTAAAGTGCTTAGGACAGTGCCTGGCATGTTATAATCCCTTAATGAATGTCAGTAAAATCCTATATCACTCAGAATATGACTGGCTAAGGTACAACAGAAAAAAATCAGCTGATAAACAACTACTTGTATGTAAACTTAATGCTTTCCCTCTAACTAGAAATAACTATATGATTCCAAGGATTGTTATTAAATTAGAAAAATCAATTTTGGAGGCCACATATTACTGTCTTCTCCCTCCAGTATATTAATATGCAAATAAAACTGCTCTGTAACAAGATAAAGAATAAAACTTTTCATGAGGTACACATTATCAGTATATATTTCATGTCTACAACACATTTTAAATATAATTTCAAGTTCACTTTGTCTCTTTGTGTTTGCTCACAAATCACATTGGTTCAAACCCTATCTTATGAAAGAAATATAGGGATATTAACATATACCCTTACCTAGATGCTAAGCTAATGTGTCCTTTCTTAAAAATAATGTATGTTATGCATTTCTATTTCTTAAGCTGAATAATAATTAGAATCTTACTTAAGCTTCAGGAAAAAATATCCATCACATTATATTAAAACTTAAAGTTCTGCTGGTTTGCACAGTTTTTTTTTTTTAATATTATGTTGTATCTATACTATTAACTACAAATATTTCTGCCTGTTTATGGAATAAAGTTTATTAAAATAACAATAGCATTATAATTGTACAAAACAAAACATACCTATGTTTCAACATAAACTGAGTACAAAAATTCATATTGGCAAAATGTGACATTAGGGAAAACAAATCTGAAGAAAATTCTACCATTAATTCAGTTGAGATCTCATTGAACAGGTTTCAGCCCACAGCAGTTTGACAGTGCACTTGCAAGTGAAGATAAAGGAAGTCATAAAAATAATGGCATGAAGAGAACTTCATATAGCAGCAGGGAGCACCATTTATCATCACATTACTGTAACCCTCTCTGGTGAGAGATGAGGAACTGCTCCTCCAATACCTTCTTCTAGAAATTGGCTCTTTTCCCAGCCCTTTTTAATTCTCTTTAGCTTTTGGCTTATACATGGAAGGAGTAAAACAATCTTACCCAGAATTACAATTGAGGGCAAAACAAGAGCAAGAACGAAGTTTGGTGGTGTATAAAACCTGTAGTACTCTTCTTCAAAAGCTCGTTTCCATCCATAAATCAAAACATGGAAAGTACTTATGAGCAGAGCTACATATCCAAGGGTAGACTTGGGACAGGGGAAGAAGAAAGAGAAACAGAATAAGAAGCAAAATTATTCAAACTCATGAATTAATCCATCCAGATATACTATGTTTATATTTTGAAAACACAACTTTATCTTAAATTATTGAGTTACTCTTTGTTATCTACTGAATTAAATAATTTTAATATTTTCATATATTTCTTACACATTTATATACACACTTTGTTTTACACAAATAAGGCCACATTGCATATATTCTAATATTCTGATTGTTTATCACATCTAGAACCTTTCCTCATGTCATTAAACATGAAAACATGAGTTTAATTTAAAAGGTATTCTACTGAATGGATGTGCTACAATTTACCTAACCATTCCTTTTTATTGATCATTTACTGTTTTTTACCTTCTTCAGCTATTATATGTCACTTTAAGCCCTTTTCTATATTTTGGTTTAGTTCCTTAGAATTGATTTCTAATAGTGGGATTACTGGTCAAAGCATCTGGCTTTTCCTTAAGGATACTGATAAAAACTGGAAAACTTTCTTTTAAAGGTTATCCACATTTCTACCAGTTGTGTATATTTTTTAAAATGTATATTACATATGCAATACATGTATACATATATACACATGTATATAATTAAATGCTAAAGAGCATTCTCATAGGTATACATACATATAAGTTGAAGATAAATATGAATAATCTTACAGTATTAATGTGTAACATAAAAAGCATTTCAAATGGTTTTACTGACCATATTGAATGAGATTGTTAGAGTATTTTGGTTTTTTGTTTGTTTGTTTTATTTTTTTTCATTTATTTTTATTAGTTGGAGGCTAATTACTTTACAATATTGTAGTGGTTTTTGCCATACATTGACATGACTCAGCCATGGATTTTAGAGTATTTTGTTAAAAAGTTTACCGTTTAAAAATCGAGAAGTTCAGCATTTTGGGTTCCCTATATTATATTTAACTGCTTATTTGAGAAATGGTCTATGTTACACAAAATGTAGCATGCTATCAGCATAATAATGTAATGTCTAACTTCACTGGGGAAGGATTAACTCTCTAGCAGAAAATTGTTCTGCTTGCAATTACTCATCTAAATTTATCATGAAACTTTGCACCTATCTAGCACCTTTTATCAGAGGGCCTTCTATTTCTTTTCAGGTGGTATTAAACTAGCAGTTGGGAAAATATTCACATTTTATTTCCCTCAAAAAGGAAAAATTAATTTAGATGAGGGATAGGCCCTTATTCTGAATGAGGTTTTTAGACCACTTAAAAAAAAAGCACAAGCAAATAGGCAAAAAACAAAACCCCAAAACAACCAAAAGTTAGTGTACCACCAGATGCCACACATCTGCATATTGTGCTATAAACCATTTGGATACAACCAATACTGGTTTTATGATAATTTAGGTAGGGTCTAAATTTGAATTATATATTTTTAAAATATGCAAGTTCATTAAATAGCTATTACTAGAGAAAGTGAATGTTTAACTTATCATACAACAAATGTTATTTTGAAATCCCTCATACACATATGTATACAACTGATGTGCCAAATACATATACTAACAAGATTCATAAGGCTGGTTGCTTGCCATAATCCATTAACGTAGTTTTGTTATTGCTTGTGTTTGTGTATATATACACATTTCCTTTAAAATATTGAGACTGAGCTTCTCTCCACTTGAATTACAACTAATGAAACTTTTCTAGACAGATTAAGATGACTCAGAATGTAGATTAAGTCTCCATTGAGTTGGCCAATAACAAATTGACTTTGGTGTTAAATTTTATCTAAACTGACTCACCTTCCACTTTCTATTCCTTTTTAAAATAACCTTTATCTATAACATAGTAGGCAATGCTATCAAAACCTTCCAGTAAAGTCCTGTACTGGTCTTTTACTAACTAAATCAGAATGGTCCTAAACTGGCCTCTAGAAGCATATATTCCACGAGCTACTTGCATAAACAGCAGTCCCAGAGGCATTCTTTCATAAGGAACATATTTAAATTTTAACTGTACTTAACTGTAATTAAAATTCTGTACCACCCATCCCCTCACCAAACAAACACCATGTACCTGAATGAAACTGAATTCCCTCCAGTTTAAAGCATTGCTCACTGAAGGGATAGAGGTGACTGCCAGGAGGGAAAGTAAGCCAAGGCTCATTATGCCAAAGGAAATATACATTTCAATTCTCCAGACTTCTTCCTCGTTCCAAGAGTTTTCAATATTTGCATGAACCTAACGAGAAAGCAAATGTGAATTTCCTTTGTTTGGTAGAACATTAACTGATTCAGCACAGAGTTCACTCTTGGCCTAAGAATACGTCATATATAGACATATTTAAGTTGCACTAATTCAATTTAATGAACTGTTATGGAGAGCCCATTACTGGATGGTATTTGTTCCAGGTGTGTGGGAAAGAGAAGAGAAAGTTAAACAAAAAGAGGACTAAGGTCCTCTCCTTCCTCACCCATGTGTGATAAGGGTAGTTGACACATTTGTAATACATCGTGCTGACATGGACTCTGGAGTCCCAACACTGAAATACTAAGTGGTTGGTTCCAGAGGGAGACTAAAGAAGTAGTGGCAGTTAATTTTCCGGTATTTTTAAAAGTTGGAAAAAAGAAAAAAGTTGGTTTCAATTTGGTTGAATGTTCAACTAGACAATTCTAGTTCAACTTAGAATCCAAGCAGGGGATTTCTAAACTTTGTGCCTTCCTTTCTCATAGAATATTTATATGTTGATTTGCCTCTTTCTTCTTACCTTCTTTTCCCCAGGAAGCTGAAATTGCCCTGAGAATAAAGCCCTAAGGAGCAAAAATATTTATCTACTTGAATGACCTCATTAATATACTTTTCAACTGTCTAGTTGCCTCATTAAGTGTTTTTCCAAATGTCTTCCCCTTACATTGATAATGCACATATAATCAAGCCAGACTTTAACTCTGAATGCATCGGATTCTGCATAGGAACTACTTTTAGAATTGTCTGTTTACATGCAAACAATATAATTAGAGTACAAATCAAGGTTTGGATTCCTTGGGTTGAAGCTTTGATCTATTCAAGGAAAACAGGTTCTAACTTAATTTAACTAACTAACTTAACTTGACTTTTTGTCCACTCCCAGGTAACCAAACTGAAGTTTAGTTCAGGTAACCATACCTGAACCATATAAGGTAATCATACCTAAGTTTAAAAAAAAGGAGAGAAAAGCTATTTCTTAGCCACTAGTTCACTGAAGCAATCAATAACAACATTCTGAAAGAAGCCACAGAGCTCCTCTGTAGAGAAAATGTTCTTACTATCTTATTTGGCGTCTATACAACAATACAGAATAACAGCATATCCCAGTATACCCGGAGACTACAACCTGTATCTATCTATCAATGCCTGACCTCCCAATTCACCCCTTCATTCCATGAGTATGTTTTTTTGAGTGTCTACAATGTGTCAGGCACAGTTCCAGGCATTAGGCACATATCAGTGAGCAAAATGGACAGAGACTCCTCCTCTTATGAACTTACATTCTGATGAGAGAAGGCAGAGAATAGTAAATAAAGAATACAAAGTGTGTTAGAAGGTGGAAAATACTATTGAACAAAGAGAAGGTACAGCAGGGGAAGTAGGAGAGGCTGGGAATACCAGGGTTGAGTCAGAAGCAGGTGGCAGAAGGTCAGACAGTGTCCAGTGAAGGCCTCACTGAGGAGATAAGGACTTGATGGAAAAAAATTTCACATTCTGAGGTATGGGGAAGTCATTCTGGCTCATACATGATTGGTTTGAACTTTATAACTAAGAACAGCCTGTCTTATGTACAAACATACAACGTACATCAGCTTTACCATTAAAAAAAAGAATGCTGCCCACCATCAAGTTTTACAAAGGGTTTAATCACAATCCATTGTCAGTTCACAATGGGCCATGAGGAGAATTCAGTAGGAAAACAGGATGAGGCTTTCTGGGCTATGAAATATAGGCCCCTAGATAGTTAAGATGCATACCTCTGGGAGAATTTCAATGACCCCAGATTCCTGCATCTTCCAATACATAGAAAAACACTGAAATTATTAACTTGAAATATCTGTTCTTTGTGATTAGCATTAATCCTTTATCAAGGATGTATGCTTGACCACATTTATTTCCTAGCTAAAAAATTCATATACATTCTGGCTCCTACCCTGCCTCTTCACAGCAGTCCCCTCAGAGCTCCTGAAAGGTTGTTTCCCAGGTTATAGTCTTCAGCTTGGTGTGGATAAAACTCTCTTCTAATCTGATTATTGATTGTTTACTATTTATGTCAACAAATTTGAAGACTTGAAGGAGGTGAGGAAGCTGGTAGAGTAGATATCAAAGCTTTACCATTCATTTAAGTGAAGTGGTTTTTAGAGAAAATGGCTTAAAGAACAGCAATCTAGTAATTTTTTTTCCAAATTATTTTAGGTTTTATTGTTGAAACAATTGTAATTACTGGATGCTACACACTTGGACCATAATGCTTTGTTTCCTTATAAAATGCAAAAGCTCTTACACATTTGTTTGGTATACTGTGTTCAAGTTTCACTGAAAAATGCTACATCAAAGAGCTTCAGTGAAAAATGCTACATCAAAGAGCTTCAGTGAAACCCCTGATATTTACTGAATGGAAATTGTTCAGGAAAATCATAGTCTATGCCATCATTAAGCCAATTCCACTAGGCTCTCCCTGAGATTTCCTTTAAGAGTTAAGTGTTAGAAAAGCTTCACCTGAGGAACTAGTACCTTTCTTGCTTTTTGATAACAAAACCCAGCAATCCTGACTTGCTATTCTTTTTTATATTTTCACTAGGCTGAATTTTATTGTATGTGTTTACTAAAAGCTGCCTTATTATTTCAGGGAACATGGCCAATTATAAAATAATTAACTGATGCTGAAAGTAATCACTGCAGTTTTAACAAAAAAGGAAAATAAAACCCAACTCTTCACTTCTCTGCTTTTATTCTGCAGAGAAAGGGATGACAGAAGCTTTAACTATAAATTATTCTGAATTAGCCATATAATTCTTATGCAAAAACCTTGTTTAAAGAATAATTCTTTCCCCTCCCTAAATATACCAACAATTCTATTACAAAGTATGTAAAGTTTTACACTATTTTAAATGTTAGTTTTTATAACTTATACTAATCAAGTATTTTACTAGCATCAGATAAATATCAAACATGCTCCATACCTGCTGATAAGCCATGTTGAGAAACAAGTATCTCTCTGATCTTCTCATTGGTAAGCAGAGGCTGTAGGCAACATGGACCGAAGCGAAGAAAAAGCTTAATAATCCAAGCTGTTTTCTACACTGTAACCAGGTCTCCAGCCACGGTGGGAATCTCCTATACTTGGTGCCATAATAAAGCTGATAAGCAGCTGCCAGGAGACCTGCCAGGTAGACCAGGGACAGCAAAGTAATGGCAACTATGGGCAAGGTCTTATTCACAATCTCAATAGGAATCTTGTAAAAGTCACTCTGCTGGTTTCTAGCATAGGGATGAATCACATCTCTGACAAAAGAATAAAGAAAGAAAAATGTGGCCAGGCTTACGGCTACCACCACTGGCCCTCTCCAGAGAGTAAACAGTCGCAGGGGCAAATTTTCAATCTCCCTGGCTGATGATAATGATCCCAAGTCAATGGGAATGAAATTCAATTGACGGGCAAGTTCAATAACCTGTTGTCGAGCTTGAATATTATTGCTGCATATATAAACCTGTGGGGAAAAACCGGAAGACTCATCATTACTATTGTTGCTTATAAAAATGGTAACAATCACATGCTCCATTTAATCCATGGAGCATCACATATGATGACCTGGAGTGATACAAAAAACTAAGGTGATGAAGCATTTGTTAATTTATTAATCTATTTATTTATAGGTTAAGATAGCATTGTAAAAACACAACAAAGTCCTTGCTAGCTTCGATGACATGAAATGAAAATGCAGAAAAATCTAGCGTGAACCTGGGACCAAGTCCTCAGGGGAAGGAAGGCAGGAGGAAAGATTTCTAAACCACGTGCTTCTGAACAGATAAGGTAAGGTCTTCTCTTCAGTAGTCTAGGTGGAATTCAAGCTGCTGGCCATGCCCCTCCCGCATCCAGCTCCCACACTCTGCAGGGCGTGGGCTGGGGCTGGTTCTCCAGGCTTTGGTGGACAGCTTAGCTCTAAGACTGCAGTGATTCTGCCAAGCAGAGTGATTGCAAGCAATGCCCTTTATGGCTGTTCAGCAAGGGAAAAGATGCTGAATGAGTATACTGAATGAGATGGTTGAATTTGCAACTAAAACTTTCTAAATTATGTCATGATGCTATACTATTTATAAAATTTACCTTCTGGCTTAGAAACCAATTCACCAAAACCATGGATAATCTCAGGTATATTACTTCATTGGTCAGAATTATGAAATTCTTTCATCTTTAAATGAGGATAATATATTTGGTGGGGGGGAAATGGCATTATTAGGCTTAGTTAATTTAAATAGTAAAAGTAACTGCTGTTTGATGTGATCGAGATCACTAGGGGTGAGGGTGGGCTTTCAAGCTACCAAATACTCTAATATATTGTAATATGGTTGAGAAGGCAACAAATATTTATTGAACACCAAGTTCATGTTGGAGTGAACCTGGATTAGTGTTAGAAAAAGTTTGCTGTAAAATCTCTGAGTGATGTTCAGGGAAAACAAATTCCTAAATATATCCCTAAAGATGTTTATATACATGCTCTGGAACAGACCACATTGAAATTCTTGCCTGCTAAACCTAGTTATATAATGGAAAGAATGTAGACTTCTTAGGATTATTAATTTTATCTAACATTAGCCATATAAATGAAAAAGTCTATACTGTTAGAACTTCTAAAATGGAACAGTGAAGGTAGACAGATATATATCAAAGAAATAAGGAAAAGCATTCTCAGTTTATTACAGGTGTGACAATTGTGAATTAAACTTTTTTATTTAATTCATTGGGGAAAAACACTAAAAATTATGAAACTTTATAATTTACCTAAAAGAATAAATCAAACATATGTAAAGGCACAAGATACAGATGAAACTCTCTGTATTTCACATTGAAGAATCTCTTGTTCCATAATTTATTTTGTTGAATATTAAAATTATCACTAAGATGGGCAAAGGATTAAATTCTGGTTTATCTCTCATTTACTTGATTTGATCTATCGCTAAACCTTGGTGGATATGCAAAAGAAAAAAAAGGCTTCAGAACAGTCTCTAGGAAAGTATATATTCTTTTACTAGGTCTTCCAAATTAAACACCTGAAAATGAACAGTTATCATGACTCTCATATGCAGCATGCTGTGCTGTGCTGTGCTTTACTCAGCCATGTCTTGACTCTTTGCAACCCCATGGACTATAGCCCGCCAGGCTCCTCTGTCCACGGGGATTCTCCACACAAGAATACTGGAGTGGGTTGCCATGCTATTCTCCAGGGGATCTTCCCCACCCAGGGATCAAAACCATGTCTTTGGTGTCTCCTGCATTTCACGCAGATTCTTTACTGCTCAGCCACCAGGGAAGCATGATATGCAGCATACAGCGATGTAAATACTCGAATTTATTTTCTAAGACATCTAATCAACTGTCTTTATGGGCAAAAACAATAAAAGTATTTTATCATCTTGCTCCAATATAATGCATAACTACGCTTTTGAAAGATTTTTAAGGTGCACTACTCTATGTGTTTACTTATAAAAGCAGAGCTGGAACACTGTTTACCAAATAGGCAAACACTGTTTACGTCTTTTTGTTTGCAAAGAAAGGAGGAGGAAGGAAGAAAGGGTGGGAGGAAGAGAGGAAAAGAAAAAAGACATGTTTGAGATTGTTTTAATTTTTGAGGAAGCAAGGAGACGGCCCATTATTCATCTACAAATCTTGTCTTTTTCTTCAGTTAGCTGATTACGATAGGAAAGTTCAAGTTATTTTCTCAGCTTTTTACATCATTTTGAGGATAGAAATATGTCCTTACAAGTTCAGAACACAAATCTTCAGGAGCTCATACATAGTTTACAAAATGATAATCATGGGAGAGCATCAGAATTCATTTTTTAGGTATGTATTTGTCTACCTAAGTATAAAATACCAGCTAAATAAGAATAAAATGTAAAAATACATACCTGCCGGCTGGCATCCTTAGGTCCTAACTGAAGTGCCCAAGCTGAGATAACATTAAAGCCTTTCACAATCAAGGAGTCCGGGAATAATGAAGCCAAATATTCCGCATTGGATTCTGGGTATTGGTTTACTTTCATATTATTGCTCACATCAATCAGGATTTTACCCACAAGCAGATGTCTCAGGTCCCACAGGGAGGTATAATGTTCTCTATGTATAGCAACAAATATTATATTTGTTTTTATTAGAGCATCTTCATGGTGAGTGACATCTACTACATGAGGAAAAAATTCAGAAGCAAACTTAGGATTTCTGCTTCCTATTACCACATGATAGCCACATCTAATAAGTCGAATGGTCAGGGATTTGGCAAAATCCCCACTTCCGATTACACCCACAGTGACCTTCCTTGCATCTTTGATACCATTTATCCCATTAGGCAAAAAAGTTTCACTAAGACTCTTGGGGCTTCCCATCATGGAGATTGATTCCATGATATGGACTCTTCCAAGATCACCAGGGATATCCTAGGGGAGAGAAAATAAAGCACTCATCAATTACTTATTACCAAACATGAATACACTCTTAGATGTTATAACAACATCCCTGTTTCTAGAGGTAAAACAATCTGGCAAACTATATAACATCAAACACCACAAAACACAATTTGTAAGCCAGAAATGGATCTCGAAATAGAAAAATGAACTGTCACAAAGTTGATGTGCTAAATTGGAGCTTCTCCAATTTTAATGTGCATTTGAATCATCTGAGAATCTTGTTAAAACGCAGATTCTGATTCAGTAAGTCTGGAGTGAGGCCCAAGATTCTGCATTTCTAATAAGGTGACGCCAATGTTGCTGGTCTGTGGGGCCCCTCTTTGAACAGCAAGGCTCTAGAGCACAAAAGGAAAGAGAGTGAAGTTTTCAGCAAGGGAGAACTTTTTAAAAAACACAGTTGCACCCAGTGTGAAAATTCAGTTGCTCAGCAGATCAGAGGCAGCAAAGTCAGAAATGCCACTAGAGGTAAAGAAGGACTGTGATGATTCATCATAGCTCTTGAGACAAGAGAAGACAGACAAACAATAGTAAAACCCAAAGAACCATTTATAACCCCAAACTGTCTAAAGTCATTTGGGATTACCTCAGTAGCTAGTAAGTAGCTAGTAAGAGCTTTATTATAAAATGAGAATAAGCTAAATCAGCTACTAAAAAAAATGAAATCTGGGGTTTACCGTTTTCCAAAAAGTAGCCATCAAAATATAATAAAGAATTAATTAAATACTATAGACTTCTATCATCCACCTTATGTCTCATTAACTTATCATTGAGAAAGTTTTCCTGTATAAAGGGGGTTAGTAATGTGTTTATGGTCTTAAATTACACAATACTTATGAAATCTTTTTCTTCCTTTATTGTATCAGTTGCCTTGAATATTTTTTTCCAGAAAAAAATCTGTCAAATTCTTTTCTTAGTGACTAACACCTGGAAAGTTCATATTTGTAGTAACTTGCTCAAGATTACAAATCAGATGGCCATGAATCAGTGTCACTGTTGGGTCTGAATGAAAAACACTCTTCCATTTTATCTGCAATGTGCAATTTCTTTTATACTAATAGCAGATGTGGATCTCTTCAGAGAACTTAATGGATTTTACAGGAACAGGTGGAATGTTTTTAAAAAAACATGTTTTTCTGGTTTTTAGTGACTGGAATTTGAAATTACTAGAGCCAGGAAAATTCAACTTTTTACCCTAGAAATGGAACATGTTCAATGATTCCAAATATATCAGTAAATTAATCTTTAGAAAGATAATAATATTACCTGATACTCATATAGCATACACTGCGTGCCAGCTCTGTGGTTTACAGATTAACTGACTGCATCCTCACAACCACCCTATGAGACAGGTACTAATATTGTCATGCCCATTTTGCAGATGAAAAAACTGATACATGCAGAAAATAATTTGTACAAGGTCACAAAAGAGAAACTAGAGGAGCCAGGATTAGAACCCAGGCAATCTAGCAAGGCATATGTCATTTGGGTGCCTGTAAGGAATTAAAGACAGATATGGGGGCAGAGGCAAGGTGGAAGAGAGATGGTTGTGTTCATATTAGTATACTGTCCTTCTTCAGCCATGTCATTGTTCCTTAGCATTACCTGGTCATCTCAATGTCTAACTTGGGTCCTGGGAAAGGGGAAAACTCACTATTTTTAAATCTATTACATGTTTCATTTCACACTTTCCAAGTTATTATTTGCTTTCCCTTGGGGTGATCCCACACACCCTGAAAAGTGGGGGTGGGGGGGTGTCAGAGGCACCAAGGTGGTACAAAACTGTGAGCATCCTCCGAGAGACATTCCTGGTATTTAGAGAATCAGGAGCAGTTAAAGAAACCAGAAGTAATTAAATCAATGCTCATTTCATTAAACAATTCAAGGTGAACTGACTGACCTAGTTCATATATATTATCATATATATGATATATATATATATTATATTATATATATAATTATCTAAGTCATATATATTATCTAAGGGTAAAGAGAGTTACTAAATTCTCACACAGGAAACCAAGTTTCCTATATCCCAGTCTCAAATTCTTCTGAGTAGAGATCGTAGCATCTCCCAAAATGTAAGAATTGCAAAATCTTTAAATCCAAGAATCATGATGATCAAGACCTTTTTAAATGAAAGCAAATATAAAAACAGTATCATTGATATGCTTATTTTACAAAGTAAGTTCAAACCCTAAGGGTAAAGAGAGTTACTAAATTCTCACACAGGAAACCAAGTTTCCTATATCCCAGTCTCAAATTCTTCTGAGTAGAGATCGTAGCATCTCCCAAAATGTAAGAATTGCAAAATCTTTAAATCCAAGAATCATGATGATCAAGACCTTTTTAAATGAAAGCAAATATAAAAACAGTATCATTGATATGCTTATTTTACAAAGTAAGTTCAAACCCTTTCTGTAAATCAGAATGTGAACAAGTGAAAATACATTAGGGCCTAAAAATGTCATCTCTGGATACCTCATAATACCATGTATCTTATGCATATTAATAGATGACTCTGTCCTAACATGTCTGGGCCTTATTCATATTGTATTTCTATGGCAAGTTTTAACTGAACCTTTTAAGAGTATGACTATGCCTATAAATAGAAGTTGGTCTAATAAATGAGACTTCTCATCAAAGTTTTAAGTAATGTAAAAGCATTCATGAGAAAAAAACAACAACTTTTAGTGGATTTGAGAGATGGATTATTTGTATACTGCTGTAAGCATATGATAATGGCACATACTATTTCGTAGTTTGCAATATTTTCACATATATTACCTTATTTAATTCTCAGATGGCTATGAAGTACATACTACGCCCATCTTAAAGATGAGGAAACAGAGGCTTAGAGAACTTTAGCAATTTATCAAAGACAGTGCACTTTGTAGTTAACACAACTCAGCTTCACATATAAGGCCTTTGACCTCTGCTAATTCTAACACTGCAGTGCAAACACTGTATGGGATATCTTAAAACTATCAAGATCACCAAAAGTCACCCATTAGTTTTATTCTCCAAAAGAAATACTAACTCTAAATAAAGTATGAATCATAGCTCAGATAGTTTTAGGTAAACCCAAAGCTATAAAGTGGGCAAACTCCAGGAGATAGTGAGGGACAGGGAGACCTGGTGTGCTGTAGTCCATGGAGTTGCAAAGAATTGGACACGACTTATAACTAACTGAACACAATGACAAAGCTATATAGTTTGGACTTACAGCTGTTAATCAATCAATCATCAGTAAATCCAAATTTTAGATCAAAATCAACCAAAGACCTAACTTTATTAATACTGTAAAAAAAAAAAAACATGATTGATTGCTGGGTAATTCTTGAAGAACCCCCAGGTAGCAACCCGTTTTCTGTGGGGGCACTGCAAACACCATGAAGGTATATATTGCTTCTAGAGGGGAGGAGAAAAGAGGCAAGAAGTATGTGTGGGTCCTGTGGAACTCATCTGTGCATAGACCTAAAAAGCACCTCCTCTGCACAAACTATGGGTGCTGAGACACTGGAGTAAAAATCTCATCAATCTCCTTTCAATTCTGTAAGCCAGCATTTTGGATCACTTAGTTAACAGCTGAGCTGAAGTTTACAATTGTGATGTCCATAAAAAATGGGGTTATAAGGAACTTTCCTTGGTCCAGTGGTTCAGACTCTGAGCTCCCAATGCAGGAGCCCTGGGTTCGATCCCTGGTCGGGGAACTAGATCCCACATGCCACAACTAAGATCCTGTGCAGCGAAATAAATAAATATTTTTTTAATGGGGTTATAAGAAGTGAATAATGTCAACAGCTGAAAAAGGTTTACCTATTTACAAAGTAAGAGTCATAAATACCTTACATTGTACATTTCCACTGACAAGGAGTGATGCAACTATAATCTAAAGATCTGTTTTTCCGTGGTCCAGCATCAATTTATTCAGGCCACTGTGTACTTTGCACAGAAGAGATAAAGAAGAGAAGCACAGTGCTTACACTTAAGTTTATATTCCATTTAAGAAAAGACAAGATATACTTGGATTAAAAAGCAAGAAAAAGAAAAACAAACTCATATTAGCATATAATTAAGAATTAGATAGCATGACCAAAGCATAGTTATTCTAGAAAATCAGCGAGAGAAAAGTGTCACATAGTGTCTCCTTACCTCAAAGCATTCTATATATATGAATTGTACCTGCAAAATAATCTCAAAATTACACAGAATGTTTCAAGGGAGGTATACTACAGGTTCATTCTAACTTAAAACCTCAAGGACCCAAAATTAAATTTGGCTTTCTGTGACCTTACCTTCAAAGCACTAGGGTACTGGCTCCCAAATATGAAGCTATCACTGGTCAACAGCAAGTAAAAAGTATATGGATACAGTTGGGAGTTCTTCATAAAATTATTCAATTTGCCAAATTGTCCTTTCCTCTGAGAGTATATCTTAACTAACTTTAGGGGTCAAAATATCTGTTTTTCATGAAAGGATAGTGATGAAAGTTGTGTGAGCTGGCAGTCCTACATAGATCCTCTCCCCTCCTTTTTATTTTACTGGAAACTCTTATATAAAAGTGCTCCTTAAACCTTTTGGAGAGAAAACCTTTCTGGGGAGAAGGGGGAAAGCACCCTGGACAAGTTCCCTGCTGCTGGAGATGTCTGCTTAACCCTCAGATGATATATCAAATATCCCCATCTAATTTTATGTAACTAGAGATTTTACTATCATGATCTTTGGGTTGCAAAAAGATAAACTCTGCAGTCTCTCAGTATTTAAATAAACATAAAACCCAACTGTTTATGGGCTTCCCTTGTGGTTCAGCTGGTAAAGAATCCACCTGCAAAAAAAAAAAAAGAATCCACCTGTAATGTGGGAGACCTGGGTTCGATCCCTGGGTTGGGAAGATCCTCTGGAGAAGGGAAAGGCTACCCACTCCAGTATTCTGGCCT